TGGGAAGAAGAGGCGATTTGGTTTTCTGCGTCTGCGTTTCTTTCGGGGAGATACAACGTCGTAATGCTGCACATACTATATTTCATGGCGATGTTTTCACGTATGAGGATGATCTATCGACCGTGTCTTCACCTGGCCGACGATGAATGATGTCAATGATGTTTCATGCGGAATATCTATTATACCCATGAGCAGATCACAACCTCGATCAGTTTCCAGACCACCTACATCATGTTAGCATATATCAGGATCATATGGCAAGCTCACTAACCAGGTGTAGTTGTTGGTCTCTGCCGCAGTGTCCCACAGTAGCGGTGAGCTACTATTAGCAGGGCGCTGAGGCCAGACGTTCGCTGTGTTAGTCCATGCCTCAATTGTCTCGAACGACGCACTTCCTCCGTCCGCCACATATACACCGAATCCGGTGCTGCACTCCATCGATGGGTAGATCCTCGTAGTCAGTGCGAACCGCTCGTTGACATATATTTCAACAATCGAGCCATCGACGAAGACATCCATAGTGATGGTTTCCAACTGCGTGCCCGAGCTAGTCTGGATGGTGTAAGGGCTGAAGTAGCCTGTCACCGTGACGTTCGCGAAGCCGATGATCGTCGAGCTGTGCAGACGCTCCACCAAGATGGTGCTGTTTAAAGGCTCGTACATGATCGTTGTGTACTCCGTCATGTCTGGCGATGCAGCGACGATGACACCTGCGGCGCCGATGGTGGAGTTGATGGTCGTCTTCAGCTCCATATGTGCTGACCCTTGCTCTTGCAGGATGACAGACGTAGTGTACTCGCCTTTGTTGTACGACTGGTGTGTGGAATCTTTGGTGATGCCCGCGACCACATCCGGCAGAGGGCGGACACCGAGCGTGCGAGCAGTGAAGGCACCATTCGCATCTGGCGTCAAGACGGCCTCCTTGGCGTCTGACACGGCGCTGTTTGCATTCAGCACGCCATCCACTTCATGAACGAAGAGCTCTCGTGGCAAAGTTAGACTGCCCTGGAAGCCCTGCTGAGAAGCACTGAAGAGCCCGCCATTACCAAGTAGATCTTCCGGAGCCCACGCCCATTGCACACGGCGGTTGTTCTTCGTGTCGTTGAAGCTGGTGAGAGCGTACGATAGGCCCCAATCACCTGCACCACCGGCGATCGGCTCGAAGGCAACGCTGCCGTTGTCGCGGCGAGTTCTGGCAGCACGTTAGCATAGTGCCGAACTTCTTAATTTGACCACTTACACGTTGCCCTCATTCCACAACGCCCAATGCGCACTCTCATGGAACGATACATTGCCACCTGAATGACGGTGAGCATAACCCGTCAGCAGATGTCTCAGACGTACAAGGGGTTTTGCAGAGGCGACGTACCTTCCGTGCCCATATTGACGAAGTAATGCAAATCTCCATTACTGTCAGGTAGCGAGAAGAAACCAGAAACCTCAAAGTTGAAACCATAAGTTCCTGTCGACAAGATCGGCCCTAAGGTCGTGTTGTCTGCAGGTTCCCACAGCGCACCCAAGAATGACCAGGATGTCAGATCGCTAGCCGGAGCAGTCCAGAGCGGCATACGTGGTCCGACACCCTTGATGCCAGACCCGAAGACAGCGTAGTAGTGCGGCTCGTCGACATCTAGCAAAGCGTCGAGTGCAGGCCACGGCTCAAAGAAGGGATCACGGAAGCCCGTCACATTCCAGTCCATGGGCGCAGTATTGGTCGTGGCGTTGATGATTGGATTGCCTTCGTACTGCCGAAACGTCTTTCCGCCATCGACGCTCGTGGCTAGACTCTGAGTCTCCGTGTACGGCGCGTAAAAGGCAGCCCAGGACGTGGGAAGGTACGATACCGACGTATAGAAGAGGAGGAGGGTGCCATCTTGCTCTCCCTGCATATTGACTGGCTGGGCTGTGCCGGAGAAGATGCCGAGACCATTGTAGTTGGACGAGGTCAATGGGTCTGTCGGTGAGGTTCTGCCATCGCCGCTCGGGCCCATGGCGAGCGCTTCGGAGTCTTGCCAGCCGTTCTATCATGCAACGTCAGCTACGTACAACACCCTGTGCCAGAAGCGGACTTACATGATCCTCCCAAGTAACCATATTATCTTTGGACGTCGCGTATCCCCATGATATGTTGCCCCAATTTATGTGCTGCGGGTGCCATTGATAGAACAGATGATACACATCCCTCGTCGGATCATACATAGGCCCACAACTGCGAGAACGTTAGGGAGAGCTCGTACTAAGACGGAAATACAAGACGTTGCGGGCATGGCCGTTTCTCCCCATCTACAAGATGCCTATTGCCAGCAGAGTGGCTATAGGCCTTGCGGGGTGGTGCGGGTGGTGCGGGATCTAGTTGGTAACGTACTGTCGCGCAGTCAGTACAAACTTTTTGATTCGGACAAGTTTTCCTTAAAATTTACCGGATCGTTCATCCAGCCTGCCGGAGCGATGAAGTGACTCTGAGGCCTCCACCGGGTGAACAGCGTATTGTTACCCATAGCCTCAATGTCGTCGGTGGTAAGAGGAGTGCATGACTGAGGACTGCTTCCACTGCCGCCCGAAGCAGATGCAGACGGTGCGGCACTCGTCGCAGTCGCAGTCGAGGAGGCACCAGGCCTGCTGTGACCTTCCCAAGATGTAGGATGAGGTCCAGCCGGCCATGAGCCATCCCAAGGACCGCCAGAGTGTGGTCCAGGGTCAGGAGGACCGTAGTGGTGCTGTGCTAGACCTAGAGGCAAGGCTGCTAGCAGAGCAGCAGAGGTAAGGGAGGTCTTCATGTTGCTGGTGCGATGAGAGTAAACAAACACAAGAGAGCTCTACGCGAAAGAGAAGTGAGCTCACAAACCTGGACCCGAGAAGGTCTTTGTAGCAAAGGCGATCCGATCTAGCCAGCGGTCAGCATCGGCCACAATGCGGTCGTCTGTTCGTTCTGCGGGACTGTGTCCGTAGATGGCGTCCACGCGTGAACCTTTTGTGAGCATCGAGGTGCAATGAGGTCAGTTTCCCCCGCACCAATGCGTGGAAGAGGTGGAGTTCGTGGAGAACCGCTGGAAGACCGAATAGACGGGCCGATTGGAATGCTGTTCGGGTCTGTTAGCCAGGGACACTAAGAACTCTCATTCGTGGTCAATGCCAGAAGAGGCAGGAGCACTGCGTGTGGGCTTTGGAACGCTCTGGCTCTCGCGGGATCGTGCAGAAGGTTACGAGAGCTTTCGAGACCTATGAAGAAGTGTATACGCGCCGTTCGAGGCACTCGAGGAAGATTGTCTTTTCAATCGTAAGCATAATCAAGCGCTCAAACGCCCATCAAAGAATCATCATTAACGATGAATGCACATGCTGCCACACCACCCTGGAAGCAGGCCTGGCATAGGCCACCCTCTACCTTTCTCACTACCCAACGAGCCCATCTCAAGGAGCAGGAGAACCCCATAACCAAGTATCTCCTCGCCCATCCACAGACTTCACTCCAAGCTTCTCCTACGCCGCTTGAGCATTGCCGCCACCCCACAACCCACGTTGCGCCTCTTCTATCCTGCGCTTCTGCTCCTGGATCTGCGACTCCGTCTGTCCTCTCCCATGTCCTCTCGGATCCAGACTGTCAATCTTACTCGCACCGCCATCTGCGTCAGGCATCTCAGTATCACCCTGCGGCATCTGTCCCTCCCCTGACACATTGCCTTCTTCGTGCGGTTGCTGCTCAGCCGGCGCCTGTTGTCGCTGAGACGGCTGCGCACCTCGTTGCGGTTGAGACGACAGCACACCATCCATCATTCCCATTCCACCAGCCCGGAGTTGATTGATCGCTCGCACGGTATCGATGGCTTTGTGTAGTGTTCTGCGCGCGTTGAAGTTCTTCTTCACTGTCGGCAGCAAGTCCTCTTCTCCTCTCCCGCTTTCAGGACCGGCGATCCAGTTGTGTGATAGAGCTTCGTGGGCTGTGATGCGCTGTGTTGGGTCGATGGTCAAGCATCGTTTTATGAATGTCCGAGCTGTCAGCGATACGTTCCGCCAGTACTCCAGAGGAGTGAAGCTGTAGTCTGCTGCGAGAATAGCCTGCATCTCCTCCAAGTTGCTATCCCGGTCGAAAGGCGTGTAGCCGCAGAGTAGGAAGTACGTTATCACGCCTATAGCCCACAGGTCAACAGGCTTGCCGTGTCCACTCTTCTTGAAGATCTCGGGCGCCATGTAGCCTGGTGTTCCACAGGTAGTGGTCAGGACGTGAAACTGCTCCTCGTCCATTATCCTACTCAGTCCAAAATCTGCTATGAGCAAATCTGCATTATCTTCAGGCGTCCGGAACAGCAAGTTCTCGGGCTTCAAATCGCGATGCACAATGCCATGGTCATGTAAATAAGCCACCGCACTAAGAGTAGCCCGTATCAATTCCGCGGCATCGCTCTCGTAGTAGCTGCCCTTCCTGCATATCCGATCGAACAGCTCTCCACCCAGCGCAAGATCGGTGACCAGGTACAGATTGTTCATCGTCTCGAAGTAGTCGACCAGCGTCAGGATGTTCTGGTGGCCCATGCTGACGCGCTTCAGGACGGCGATCTCGTTGCGCACCATATGCTCGCGGCCAGCCATGAGGCGCTTGTTGATCACTTTGGCAGCGTAGTAGCGCCCGGTGTCGATGTGCACGCATTCTTTGACGACGCTGTAGCTGCCCGCGCCGAGCGTCTTGCCGGTTTTGTAGCGACACGGCTGGACTTGGGCGGAGGGGATGGCCATGCTGGGTGGGTGGGTAATGAGTGCTGTGTAGCGATGCTGTGGTAAGTAGGTGGTGTTGTATGTGGAAGTGCGATAAGTGAGGCAAGGCAAGGCTAGACAATGGGGCAGCAGCTGGACCCTGGGCCAAGGTGGGGGGCGGTTGATGAGGACAGTCAGCAAAAAGGGTCGAATACGAGGCTACAACTGAGCTTTTCACGAGCCTTTGGCAACGAGATAAAATGTAATGTACATGTAAGGTAAAGGTGCTACGCCAAAACGCGAAAAGAGAAAGCTCCCCACCCGGTTCGAACGAGTCTACGAATGCTGTTAACGCCTATTCCAATGGCATATTGATGTACGATTGTACTTACGACCTTAGGATAGATTGCACGCACTGCAATCCCACGCTCTACCACTGAGCTAGAGGAGCTTGAAGGAACGAAATCCCAACGTCGCTATCATGCGTGGGTAGAAACCACGATTTTTCAATTTTATTTATATACGCTATTCGGCGCTACCTCGGCACTGCTCTTGCTCGTCTGAACCACTTTCCATCTCCTGGCTTTCATGTCAACCTCCAAATGCTTCAGCTTCCAGTTGCGTGCAACAGGAACCAGTACTCTTTGTACTGCCACGGTAGTTGGGACTACTGCAAGACTCCCGAAAGGCTGCTGCCACTTCGCCCAGCCAACATGACGCGCTTGTGCAGCAGCTGTGCAGCTGTCGCTTTGTCTTCAACATCGACGGGCATGAGTCCACACCACACGTGCAACAAGTCATAAGAACTTCAACAGGCAGCAGTAAAGCCAACAGCTTTCTGCCTGTATCTCTAGTCACATCGGCACAGCATCATGGACGGGAAGTAGAATCTCCCGCCCAACGAGCAAGCTGTCCAAGAACAAACACAACCCAGCCACATACAAGACGAGGCACTCTGCTGCAACATGGACTACCTCTGGTCCGCCCTCGAACAACCCCGCCGTCTCGCCGTCGACCTCCTCCACAGCCACGAGATCGATAACTCCTCGCCCTGGTCTCCCGAAGTGCCCGAAGACCTGCGTGAGTGGCTGCCCGATCTCTTCGACCGCTTTCCAATCGTCTGGCCGTGGGAGCAAGCAAAACCAGTCGACCCAGCGATACACAACGTCTGGATTCTCGACAATACCGCCTTCCGCACCCCAGCTCCAGGTGACCACCGCCGAGACCTAGCCAAACTACGTGACCACAACGCCACCAAACCTAGACTAGTTAGTGAGCCCGGCCAGACAACCCAAAGTGTACAGCAAGGTACCGGCAAATGGGAAGTGGAATTCGTAGTAGCCTACTTCATCAAGAATTCTGGCAAAGAAATCGCTAGCACCACTGCGGCACTGGTGAAACAACTCAACGTCGACGACAGCGATGAAGCGACTAAGAAACGCATCACAGCTCGTTTGCAGCCGTTTGTAGATCACGTTTTGCCGAAGAGGACTCTACGGATCACGATTGACGATAAAGAAGAGCAGACGCTGGGCCCATCGTCTTACTCCGGAATCAGTTCAGACTTGATACCGCTTCACTTCGATCCGTCGGGACCGCAGGCGCAGTCGAATGCTTTGACGCTACCGCCACCGTTTGGACTGGGCAGTACGACGGTCTTTGCTGAGGAGGAGGGATGGGGTGTCATTAGCGATATCGATGATACTATCAAGGTCACGCAGTCGTCTGACCCGATTGGCATCCTGAAAAATACGTTTACCGTCGAAACCCCGGATCCCATAGCCGGCATGCCAGAGCTCTACGCCCATATCCTGCCCACTCTTACCACCAACACTGGCAGCGGTGGCCAAAACGCACCGCCCTTCTTCTACCTCTCGGCATCTCCTTACAACCTATATCCGTTCCTTCGCCACTTCCTCAACGCCCACTATCCGCAAGGAACTACTATCCTCCGAGATGCTTCCTGGCAGAATCTGGGCGGACTCATCGCTTCACTGCAGAAGAACACCAAGGAGTACAAAGTCGATCGAATCGTCAAGATCCACTCCTGGTTCCCGCACCGCAAGTTCATCGCTATAGGCGACTCGACGCAGAGTGATCCAGAGGCTTATGGAGAATGTGCGAGGCGCTTTCCAGGATGGATCAAAGCTATCTTTATAAGGAAGGTCGAGGGTATTGCGTTGATGGATGAGAAAACCAAGAATGCGGATTCGAGATTCGAGAAGGCATTTGAGAAGCTGGACAGGAGTTTGTGGCATGTATTCACTGAGCCGGGTGAGGTGGCGGAGAGCATTGATGAGCTGAGGAAAGATGAGGATGTTCAGAAGTAAGGTAGGGTCGGACGGTGGCGTCCTTTGCTTCTTTGATTTCCAAGACGACGACTGAGATCATGGGTCTAATGATGGAATGACGAGCGCAGGTATTACGAATTATGAATGCCGAGAAGTTCCGCGATTATCTCTGTAAGCGATCGCACACGAAATGTGTCTCATGTGTTTCGTTGTCCGTAAGACGATATGATCGAGTCCGACAACGAGCGCGGCGTGCCATCTCGTTGTAATCTTGCGTATGGCAGCGGACTCGGAGTCCTTGAGGCTGGTGGCTTCGGCAGCTTTTTATGGGTGCTCATAGGCGTATTTGGTCTCGGCGGTGGAGGACTCGAGGGCATGACCGGCGTCGCTGTAAGTAATAAGGCTGCAGATGTTGCTGATGCTAGCGTACGAGTCGGTGTCTGCGGAAGTAAAATGCCAAGGCCGGAATGGTTTTGTATGTTACTGGCATCGCTACGGATGCTCGCTGAGCTCTCGCTGTGCGGTGTGGGTGGCCTTTCAGCGTTGGTGTATCTCCTCTCCGCCAATTCGGCTTCTGCTCTTTTGAGGTCTTTCTTGTAGCCACGAATGTCGAGCTTGTAAAGGACTATCTCTTCGAGACAATGCTGCAGCTCTCGCTCTAAATTTTGTCTCTCGGTGCTCGTATCGTTATCTGTCATTGACTGAACTACCGCGTGAAGGCCTGGGGTGGGTGCCTGCGCAGCAACGCGGCTTTGGCGGCGCAGCTCGTGATGTAGCAGGCTGTTATAGCGTTCGCGATCTTCACGTGCTGCCTGCAGCATTCTCTTGTGATCGTATAGCGAGGCTTCCAATTCGCTCATGCGGTCTTGGATTGCAGCGTCTCCGATATCTTGCTCAAGCTGCTGTATCCTAGCTTCTCGAGCGGCAAGGATACACATGAGTTCATTAATGTGTTGGGCGCTTGAATTAGGAACAGCGCTTGCATATTCCGACTTTGTTCGGGTATGCTTCAGTTGCTGAGCGTGGTTCGTCCCCTGAGCAAGCGCAGCATCCGGCATGCGCATCGTCGCATGCCTTCCCTCTACGAAGAACAGGCGATTGCGAAGCTCTTCCATAGCCCGCCCGGTCGTGCTCTCTTCAGCTTTGAGCTTCTGTATCTCTGCTGAAGCTTCGAGCAACCCTTCAAGCACATCAGTGCGCTCGTTGTTGGCAGCCAGCAAGCGAGCTTCGAGGTCGGAAATTGTGTTTCTGTGAATCTTCTCCTGGTCTTTCGACTTCCGGACTATCTCCTTGAGTTGCGTGATTCTCCTGCTGCTACTATCGGCCTCCTGGCGGAGTCGATCGCGCTCACGTCTCACATCTCCGAACTCAGTTTGAGCCTTCTTGGCAAGGCTCAGCTTCCTTTTCAAGGCTTCCGCTTCCGCAGAAGCCTCCTGTGATACACGTTTCTGGCTTTCCAAGGAGTCGAAGCTTTGATGTGTGGTAGCCGATGCGTCTGCACTGCGTTGCTCGCCGCCTCTTGGGGCTGCATGAGCAGTGTCTAGCGTCAAGCGCCGTCGTACTGGCTCATGTGTTGCTTGTATCAAACCACGTCGCTGTTCCAGAAACGCTGTATAGGACCGATGCGAGTCGAGCTCTCTTTCGTGTGCTTCGCGCAGGCTGGCGAGGTGAGACTCATGCGACGTACGCATGTGTACAATTTGCTCGAGCAGGTCGTGCTCAGCGCCAGCTTCTTGTGTCACTTGTTGTGTTAAGCCGGTGTCTGCTGTTGGGTAAGCGATCAAGCTGCCTGCTCGTGAGTTCGGTGCTGTGCTGCCAGCACAAGACGTCTTGTAAGGCCAACTCTGCAACATATTCAAGGACGGTCGCTCTACAGACTTCCTCGCACTCTCTAACACGGCATTGTTGACTCTCTCGTCGGCTCGGATCGCAAAGGCAGGCATGTCGTCGTGTTCCGTCTGTGAGAGACAATGTGGCCCACTGCTCTTAGATCGAGGTGACGGTTGCACAGGAGCGTATAGACCTGTTGAGGACCAAAAGCTGTCGCTGGACTGTCTCGGCATAGCTGACGCACTATACGTTGGCTGTTGAGGGCTGCTACGCGGTCTCGAGATTCCAGCTCCCAAGTACAAATTGCTAGATGCCTGTCCCGATGGATACTCGTATTTACCATCGGCTACTTGGCGCAGCGAAGCCATCGACTTCTGTCCGGCAACGAGCGATCCTGGGAGCTCTGCTGGCTCCGCGCAAGGAGCCTCGACAAGTGGTGTGCATGGAGCAGTGTGTGATCGTGGTCGGCCGTACATTGGCGTCAGGTTTCTCTCCTGCTGCGCAGAGAGATGTGCAGCAACCTGTGGCGATTGGAGCATGTCGTTGACGACGGCCATGAGATTCGTCGCAGACCGGACAGTAGCATCGTGCAGGGCAACAGATTCGCTTCTGCGATGCTTGTGGTCCACATCATAGCTTTTGGAATGTTCGAACGACAGAGGTTGTGGCCTGTTGCGGCTCGCTTTCGGACTCTGGGCGTATGTTAGAATCTGGTTTGCTATCGGGTTTGATTGATCGATCGTGCCTTTGCGCCGCGAGTATAATCCGCTTCGTCCATTCCCTTGATTGAGATGCATTCGACCGGTATTGGGACGATCCCCCCCTGTCGGTGTGAGTTACGCGGCCATGTGAAGAATCTAGACGACATCGCGGAAATGCATTCTTTGTCAACACTGATAGTTCGACGACACTGCAAGGTTAGAAAAGACAAACGACATTAGACAGTAAAGGTATGCGTTTCCAAGATGTAAGATCTGCGCCGGTAGTGCAGCTGGCTCCCTACATGATTGACATAGCCATCTAGGCGCCGGGAAGCCGGATAGCCAAGGCCATGATACCAGGGATGCACCTTTCATCTTAGCTACACGCTGTCCACCTCGTCGCCGAGCCAGCGGCTGAGATGGTCAGGCGTCTCCCAGCGCAAGTACTCCCAGCAGCTCGCGGCTGGCACGGTCTCCATTCCGGCGAGCGCTTGTCGAGTGGGACAGATACGACCCCAGGTCGTTTCGAAACAGTAATCTCTAGGAATATAGTGCACTGCATCATCCACGAGGTTCTGCCAATGGTCGATGTGTGTAACCGCTGAGGACGTTTTCGAAGAGAGATCGCT